ACCCCTTTGACTGCCGAGTGGAAGTGGAAACTGTGGGTGTGTCCGAGGAAGGCGTAGATCTTTTCCCTTTCTCTGTAATGGCTGGGGAGCAGGAGGAGTTGGATCCAACCCCAGACATTGAGGATATAGAACAAGAGATGATCGCTGGCTCTAGTGAGAGTGGACAGAATGTGGTGCCTGACCTAGAGGTCAGAAAAGAGGATTTTTGTACGGAACAACTGAAAGATTCCACACTTAATAGAGCCCGTGAAAACATTAAAATGATTTATGGGGAACCAGTGGAAAATGATGTAGCGGTGTATTTTCCCTACATGGCTCTTAACAATAACTTGCTCTATCAAGTGGTAAAGCAAGGGGAGAGGTGGTAGAACAGTTAGTGGTCCCCAAACCCTTTCGCTGGATGGTACTGGATTTAGCCCATGGGCATATAATGGGTGGACACCTGGCCAGGCTTACATGGAGACATCAAAGCGCATTGTGAATCATGCCCGGAATGTCAATATTCTGCACCCTCACCCCATTTTCGCAGTCCACTAGTACCTCTACCCATAATTGAAGTACCGTTTGAAAGAGTGGGCATGGACCTAGTGGGTCCAGTAGTAAAGTCTTCCCGGGGCCATCAGCACATACTGGTTATACTTGACTATGCCACCCGGTATCCAGAAGCCATCCCCATTGCGTAATACCTCTTCTAAAAATATCGCCAAAGAGCTTGTCCGGTTGTTTAGTCGTGTAGGTATTCCAAAGGAGATATTAACGGATCAGGGCACGCCATTTATGTCTAGAGTTATGAAAGAGTTATGCAAATTGTTCAAAATCTCCCATCTCCGTACCTCGGTCTACCACCCCCAAACCGATGGGCTTGTGGAAAGGTTTAACAAGACCCTTAAGAATATGTTAAAAAAGGTGGTGGACAAAGATGGGAGAAATTGGGATTTTTTGCTACCATATCTCATGTTTGCTATACGGGAAGTACCTCAGGCATCTACAGGATATTCACCTTTTGAATTACTGTATGGTAGACATCCCAGGGGATTGCTAGATGTGGCAAAAGAAAAGCTGGAGACAGAGTCCACGCCCTATAGAAGTGTCATCGAGCATATCTCACAGATGCAGGATAGAATCGAAGCTGTCATGCCACTTGTTCGGGAACACCTGGAGCAAGCCCAGGAGGTCCAGAGAAGGGTTTATAACCGGGGTGCCAGGATCCGTACCTTCAACCCTGGCGATAGAGTGCTGGTGCTAGTCCCCATCGTGGAAAGTAAATTCCTCGCAAAGTGGCAAGGTCCCTTTGAAATTAGGGAGAAAGTGGGGGAAGTAAATTATAAAGTTTACCAGCCAGGAAAAAGGAAACCCGAACAAATCTATCATGTTAATCTCTTAAAACCTTGGAAAGACAGGGAAAGTTTGTTGGCAGTACCAAGCCCCCAAAAGGACGTGGTTCCCGTGGCCCCTCAGGTACCTATAATGGAAACTTTATCAGTAGCCCAACAAAATGATGTTACGGAGTTTGTGAGGAAAAATGGAGATTTCTTCTCCCACCTACCTGGACTGACAACGGTCATACAGCATGACATAGTTACCCAGCCCGGGGTCCGCGTAAATGTCAAGCCTTATAGAATACCCGAGGCCAGGCGGGAAGCGGTGGCAAAGGAAATAAAGGACATGTTAGAGTTGGGAGTGATTGAGGAATCTCACAGTGAGTGGTCGAGTCCCATAGTGTTGGTCCCAAAACCCAATGGAACTATTCGTTTCTGTAATGATTTCAGAAAACTGAACAGTGTGTCTAAATTTGATGCGTACCCGATGCCTCGGGTGGATGAGTTCATTGACAGGTTGGGAACGGCTCGGTACATAACCACCTTAGATTTAACCAAAGGCTATTGGCAGATTCCTTTAACGGAAGCTGCAAAAGAAAAGACGGCATTCTCTACCCCCGAGGGGTCCTTTCAGTATAAGCGGATGCCGTTTGGTCTACATGGTGCTCCGGCATCATTCCAACGAATGATGGACAAAACGTTAAGACCACATCGCCAATATGCAGCTGCCTATTTGGACGATGTCGTCATCCACAGTCCAGACTGGGAGTCTCATTTGTCCTGCCTGCAAGCGGTAGTAGATTCGCTGAGGGAAGCAGGTCTTACCGCCAACCCCAGAAAGTGTGCCATAGGCTTAGAGGAGGCCAAATATCTTGGCTACATCATTGGTCGAGGTCTCATTAGGCCTCAGATCAATAAAATTGAGGCGATTCAAAAGTGGCCCCAACCTGTAAATAAAAAGCAAGTCCGGGCATTTCTTGGGATCACAGGATACTACAGGCGGTTTATCCCCAATTTTGCCACCATTGCAGCCCCACTGACAGATCTGACGAAAGGTAGGGGGTCGGTCATGAGTAAGTGGAATCCCGAGGCGGAGACCGCATTTCACAGGCTGAAACAAGCTCTCTGTGCCCAACCTGTGCTTGTGACCCCAGATTTCACAACAGAGTTTGTGGTACAGACTGATGCCTCTGACGTGGGACTAGGTGCGGTACTGTCCCAAATCAGAGATGGGGAGGAGCACCCTGTGGTCTTCCTAAGTAGAAAACTCAACAAACATGAGAGAAACTATGCCATTGTGGAGAAGGAATGTTTGGCCATCAAATGGGCATTGGAGGCCCTGAAATATTACCTGTTAGGAAGACCGTTCAAGTTGGTTACTGACCTTGCCCCGCTCAAATGGATGTGTGATAATAAGGAGAAAAACAGTCGAGTGACAAGGTGGTTTCTCGCGCTACAAGTGTTCAAATTCACAGTGGAACACAGAACGGGGAAACTGCAAAGTAATGTAGATGCCCTTTCCCGGGTCCATTGTCTGGTTGGGACAGTTGCTCAGACCGCAGGGGCTTGAGCAGAGGGGGGGATATGTGACAGTATGAACGGCAAAGTGATGGATGGAAGATATGTGTCACCTCGCATGAGGTCATACTGTGTGAGGTGTAAGGTGGAGTCCACTCCAGGTTTTCGGGGCCACAATGGCAGAAGTGGTTCCGAACCAGAGTTTGGACTCCACTAATGACCACTAACAGGTGATACAAAAAGGACAGGGCTGGAGCAAGGAGTTGCTCGTGGCCTGGGACTCAGAGAGGTATTCTGAGAGAGCTGTGTGTATGGACTATACCTACAAGAAAAAAGGTTTGCTGTTATTTTGTTTTGGTGACAGGGAGAAGCCCTTCACCTCTGAGAGAGGAATCATCTTCTGTTTAGTTAGTGTCTGGATGGCAAGGGTTTATTTTGATGTTTTGTTTATTTTGATATTTCTTGCAAACCTTTTTAATAAAACTGACAACCAGTCAGATTTTGACGAAAGCCTGCTGTGCGGTCTACCTTTGTCCCAGGAAGGAGATCCCCCACCTGAGCTAACCCCACAATATATATATATATATATATATATATATAAATATATATATATATATATAAAAGAAGTGTTCTGTGGTTCAGCTATGCAGACTTGCAAACCTTATTGAACTTGTACTGTATGCTGGTAACAGGATCTATGTGCACAGACAAGGAGTAAACAGACTACATTTCTCAGAAGAGCTGGCAAAGGGATGGGAGCATATATATTCAGAAGTCGGGGAACCTTACAGGAAGGAAGTGGATAGGGAGGAACAGAGAACGGGGGTGGGAAGAAGGCTGAGTGGACAGGACGTTGAAGATCCAGGCTGGGCCAGGCTGCAGAGCGGAGAAGTGAAGAGGGATTGCAAACTGCTGGTATCACTGACATGCAGGACAGACAATCCTGCAGGTAGGCGGATTGTGGTATTACTATCGGCATTACTCCTTTATAGAGGGACCAAGAGAAAATGCCCCCTACTGTGAGACTACCTGCTACACTACTGAGGCTATGTTGCAGGTAACTGTGATAAGTTCAACTGTTTCTTTCAGTCCAGTACACCTTACATCAAAGCTTATCACATTGAGGCCCAGACTGACCAGCTTATTGTGACCTACTGATTAGTGCTTTATTAACATCCTAAGCCGCAGGACTTTGCTGCAGTATATGCACCCTGTATACAGAATCACATTAGTGTCTCCTTTCAAGTCTCTTGTGGTGTCAGCAGAGATTGAGCTTTCAAAGCAGGCTCAGGACAGAGAGGGAACCCAAAAATACTCAGCGGCCCTTAAGGGGGTAGAGCTACATATGTATAAACAAGTATATATACAGTATATTAACAAAATCATATTTGAAGTTGAGAACAGGCAGTAACATTGCCACTAATTTTGCCTTGTTTCCTCTGGCAGCAGGAACTTTGCAGTCTGTAAGATCCCATACACAGCTGAGCAGAGTGATTTTCAGTTGTTTTTATTTGAGACCTTGGCAAGCATTTTAGAAGTATAATACAAGCACTTTACATATACAGTCATGGCCGAAATTGTTGGCACCCTTGATATTTTTTCCTGAAAATCAAGTATTTCACACAAAAAAGGTATTGCATTAACACATGTTTTGCTATACACATGTTTATTCCCTTTGTATGTATTGGAACAAATATAAAACAGAGGCAGAAAAGCAAATATGACATAATGTCACACAAAACCCCAAAAATGGGCTGGACAAAAGTATTGGCACCCTTAACTTAATATTTGGTTGCACACCCTTTGGAAAACATAACTGAAATCAGTCGCTTCCTATAACCATCAATAAGCTTCTGACACCTCTCACCCGGAATTTTGGACCACTCTTCCTTTGCAAACAGCTCCAGGTCTCTCTTATTGGAAGGACACCTTTTCCCAACAGCAATTTTAAGATCTCTCCACAGGTGTTCAATGGGATTTAGATCTGGGCTCATTGCTGGCCACTTCAGAACTCTCCAGCGCTTCTTTGCCATCCATTTCTGAGTGCTTTTTGACGTATGTTTGGGGTCATTGTCCTGCTGGAAGACCCAGGATCTTGGACGCAAACCCAGCTTTCTGACACTGGGCCCTACAGTGCGACCCAAAATCCTTTGGTAATCCTCAGATTTCATGATGCCTTGCACACAGTCAAGGCACCCAGTGCCAGAGGCAGCAAAACAACCCCAAAACATCATTGAACCTCCACCATATTTTACCGTAGGTACTGTGTTTTGTTCTTTGTAGGCCTCATTCCGTTTTCGGTAAACAGTAGAATGATGTGCTTTACCGAAAAGCTCTATCTTGGTCTCATCTGTCCACAAGACGTTTTCCCAGAAGGCTTTTGGCTTACTCAAGTACATTTTGGCAAACTGTAGTCTTGCTTTTTTATGTCTCTGTGTCAGCAGTGGGGTCCTCCTGGGTCTCCTGCCATAGCGTTTCATTTCATTTAAATGTCGACGGATAGTTCGCGCTGACACTGATGCTCCCTGAGCCTGCAGGACAGCTTGAATGTCTTTGGAACATGTTTGGGGCTGCTTATCCACCATCCGGACTATTCTGCGTTGCAATCTTTCATCAATTTTCCTCATCCGTCCACGACCAGGGAGATTAGCTACAGTGCCATGGGTTGCAAACTTCTTGATAATGTTGCGCACTGTGGACAAAGGCAAATCTAGTTCTCTGGAGATGGACTTGTAACCTTGAGATTGTTGATATTTTGCCACAATTTTGGTTCTCAGGTCCTCAGACAGTTCTCGTCTCCTCTTTCTGTTGTCCATGCTTAGTGTGGCACAGACAGACACACAATGCAAAGGTTAAGTGAACGTCTCTCCTTTTTATCTGCTTTCAGGTGTGATTTCTATATTGCCCACACCTGTTACTTGCCCCAGGTGAGTTTACAGGAGCATCACATGCTTGTAACATTCTTATTTATCCGCAGTTGTGAAAGGGTGCCAATACTTTTGTCCAGCCCATTTTTGGAGGTTTGTGTGACATTATGTCGAATTTGCTTTCTTTCCTCCCTTTTTTTGTTTTGTCCCAATACACACAAAGGGAATAAACATGTGTATAGCAAAACATGTGTTAATGCAATACGTTTCGTGAGAAATACATGATTTCCTGGAGAAATATCAAGGGTGCCAACAATTTCGGCCATGACTGTATATTCTACCTTCAGGTGTTTTTAATTTAGCCAATAGGAAGCACTATGGGGAAGAGATTAGGAGTGGAGAGATGCTGTCAGAACGCTTGTAAAACACTTGTAAAAGGCTCATATTGTGCATTTTTCAGATGTTCTTATTGAAGCCTATGAGGCCAATCTGCCTCCAATCTGCCTAAGAAGCTCATGTACTTTTTTGAGTAACAGGCATTTTGCTACAGGCCACAAAACACTCAGATGTGAACAGGGGCCATTGAAATGAATGGGATTTTGTTTGTTGAGCGTATTAGAGCTACATGCTTCAAGAAGAAAATTGCTCAGATGTCAACGGGGGCCTCATACCTCTAATGCAAACAAACAGCAGGTGCTCTTAACTGTTTAGAAACCATCTGCAACCGACCAATCTGCGACTTCGGAGTGTCTATTATACTCTTTCCAGATTAATTACTCAATAGTTCCTGTAGAAGAAGCAAGCTAAAATTCTCCTAAAGCTAAAGAAGTGCTTATAGTTATCTCTCCAGCGATCCATCCTGCTACCTCCTTCCAGTGCTGCAGCCTCCGTAAAACCTTTTTCAGCATTAGGTCAAATCCCATTGGACTTCGCTGAAAATCATTTTTATAAAAAATATAACGATCCTTATCCTGATGTGTGAGCTTTGCAAATTGAGCCTAATTAATGCTGAATACCAGCAGTGAATATATAGCAAGAAAGAAGGCAGAAGGTTAGAATGAGTGACTCATTCAGCTTATGCCCTTCTGTTTTTTGTTTTGTTAAAATAGATCTCCAGCCTGCCCATTGAATAGAGTGAAAAATGGTTACAAATCAGGTTAGCATTGGTGTCTGTTTCTCCAATGAAGAAATTTCCCCTCACATCCTGTCACTGGGGACAGACAGCAAAAAAACAGAGTCTCTAAGCCCTTTCCATCAGTTAAAGTGGTTGTAAACACTCACATATACCCAAGTGAAGTGACTGAGCTCAGGGGATACACAGAGATGAAACAAATCATCCTATGTAAGTCATGCCTATTTATCTATATCTGTCTTTCTCTTACATCTATTCAAAGTGCAGAATTTATACAGGATTTGTCAGCTCTGAAAAGCAGGGGTGGAGAGATGAAGTTGCATCAGTAAGGAGAGCTCTGAGAGCTGATTGGTGGGAAAAAACACACCCACTTCACACTGCACACAGGAACAGAGCTGAGGCTGTCAGTCACAGGCTGTGCCCTCCCGTCACCATTTTTCTTTTGGTGTTAGGAAAACTCTTCAGACATGGCTCGTACTTACAGCAGAGGAATGAGGCAGTGGACAGAAATGACGCTTGGTACTCTGGGTTGAGACAAGTACACATATTGTAAATGGATATGCTTTTTTCATATTTCTTGTCTGAGGTATTTGGCCACTTTAAATGTAAAATGGTACTTTAGATATGATGTAATATACAGTGCTCAGCATAAATGAGTACACCCCTTTTGAAAAGTAAGATTTTAATTAATATCTCAACAATTTCCAAAATGTTGACAAAACTGAATGTTATAGAACATTTGTTTAGCTCATGAAAGTAAGGTTAATAATATAACTTAGATTACAAAATCTTCAGTTCTACTCAAATTAGTTGATGCAAAAATGAATTCACCCCACAACAAAAACTACATCATCTAGTATTTTGTATGAACTCCATGATTTGTAAGGACAGCACCAAGTCTTCTAGGCATGGAATGAACAAGTTGGCGACATATTGCAACATCTATCTTTTTCCATTCTTCAAGAACAACCTCTTGTAGAGCCTGGATGTTGGATGGAGAGTGATGTTCAACTTCTCTCTTCAGAATTCCCCATAGGTGTTCAATTTGGTTCAGATCAGGAGACATACTTGGCCACTGAATCACTTTCACCCTGTTCTTCTTCAGAAATGCAACAGTGGCCTTAGATGTGTGTTTGGATCATTGTCATGTTGGAAAAGTTCACGATGACTAAGGGCTTGGAGTGATGGTAGCATCTTTTCTTTCAATATAGAGCAGTACATCTGTGAATTCCTCACCTTTGCGACGCCATACAGTTTTGAAGCCATCAGTTCCAAAAACATCTATCTTGGTCTCATCACTCCAGAGTACAGAGTCCCAGTAGTCTTCTTTTTCAGCATGGGCCCTGGCAAATTCTAGGTGGGCTTTTTTGTGCATGGACTTCAGGAGACGCTTCCTTCATGGACGACACCCATGCGTGCCATTCCTCTGTAGTGTATGCCATATTGTGTTATGGGAAACAATTACCTCAGTTTGGCTTTCTACTTCCTTAGCTAACTGCAGCAAACTTGCATGGTGATTTTCTTCAACTCTTCTCATCAGAAGACGCTCCTGTAGAGGTGTTAGCTTTTGTGGACAGCCTGCACGTCTCTGTGAGATGGTTGCAGTTCCAGCTTTGTTACATTTTTGTATCACTTTTGCTATAGTATTCTGACTGATAAGTAAAGCTTTGCTGATCTTCTTGTAGCCTTCACCTTTCTTGTGTAAATAAATTATTTTCTTTCTCAGGCCTTGTGACATTTCTTTATTAAGTAATGCCCTTTTATAATAAACTGTCTGCCGCACACGGTTTAATGAATAATTAGACACACCTGTAGTTGAATTCTTGTTAAGTAGGATTTTCATGGCTAAAATTTAGCTTTGCTCCTAGGACTTTCATTGGGGTGTATTCATTTTCACACCATGAATTTGTTAGGAAAAATACTTTTTTTGTGTGTGCAAATTAACAAATCTTGTTTGCAATCAATGTCCCACATTTGTGAGGGTATTTTGTAGTATAGTGTCCCATAGAAAATGTTGATTCTGAAAGGAAAGTAAAGGTTTTTCGACAAATCTGTTGGCTTGTACTAATTTATGTTGAGCACTGTTTATATTGTGATGGATAGTTAACTGATTAGCACTCTTACCTTACTGGTTTCCTGAGTGTCATGCATGTGAGCTGTGCTGCTCTTTCTCTCCATGGTTATATAGGTTGGTTTGTAAAGGTGGGGGCTGTGTATTCTTACCATTGTTCTAAAAATTATTGGTAGAATAATGGGTTGAACTTATCTAGAGCATGTGGTTGTATGACTGTACGAGAGACATTGGATTGTAAGCTCTGTTGTTCCATAGACTCTTTTAAATGGTTCATTGTATTTTGGAAAAACCTGCAGAATATTTTGTGTTTGTCAAGATAAATAAAACTTTTGTTGTGTTTGATATTGCTGCCATCTAGTGGAATACGAGATTGTTGCTCTATGGTTTTACACTGGTGATAAAGTCAAACATTACTCTACCTAAAGTGGAATAACCTGTTTTACACAACTTGGCAGTATAAAAAATCCACAATTTATGCAGTTATGTACTCACTACAGAATCATATTTTAAATGCAGCTAATGTATCTACCAAAATTTGTCTAGGTTCACACCTATGCGTTTTCTGCAGCGTTTTGCAGAAAAGCACAGCAGTCTATTGAACATGATTTCCCATGGGACACGTTCACATCTCCACGTTTTCACCTGGTGCGTTTCTTGGAAAGGGTCAGGGACTTTTTTTAAACATAAAATGTTGCATCCTATAGACTTCAATGGAGATGCTGCAGAAAAGCATGTAATGTGATTTTGCTGCATTTGTGATGCGTTTTGATGCATTTTAATCTGCCTAGCAACAAGAAAAGAAATCCGCAAAACGCAGCAAAAACGCATGTGCAAAAATGCAAAACGCACTGCAGAAACGGATCAAACGCAAACTGCATAGGTGTGAACCTAGCCTTAGTATCCACTTTACGTGAACCTCTGTACAGGAGCACTTGTAGAAGATGAGACTAGTAGAGGAAAAGTCAGCACCAGGAACCAACTAGGCTCTAATGCAGTGTACATGTGCTGATGGCCAGTGTGTTGATAAAAAGAACGAAGGTAAGCAGAGGAATGACCTACCTATACATTGCGCATCTACTGCCCCATTGTCCAGTCAGTAGGCTGGGTATGACCGGAGTCTGTTGTCACATGCTACTGTACCTCTCCTTCATCTAATACTCTATTGTGTATGGGTGAGGTGGCTTAATATGCTCTGAGCGAAGATAATGTGCGTACTCATAAAATGCTGACCTGAATTTTCAGGTGCATAGGCCTGGAGCAATTCAGAAGATAAGGTTACCCCACATCTGTCAAAATTTAACAAGCAGAAAGTTCATTTTAACACTACCCCCTTCCCACATACTCATGTTCACCTCACTCCTCTGCAGGGTTTTTATTCTCAGAAAATAGGTGCAGGTACTCCCCACTCCCTGAGTCACCCCTTGTTTCCGCCCCCCTACCCACCTTCAAGCACTGACCCTTGGTTCCACCCCCTACCCACCTCCCAGTATTGCCCCTTTTAAACAATACAGAGCCAAGTATTATTTTGTGGTACCAAGTAATTTGTATGGATCTTAATGATATCAGGAAAAATAGTAAAATAGATGCCCTGAAGTCGACAACAATAGCCTCTCCCCAGCAACAATAGATCCTCCACAACAAAATACTCTCTCGACAACAATAGATCCACACGAGCATTAATAGACTCCTTCCAGCAACAACAGATCTCCCACCTGCGAGCATCAGTAGACCCTCCAGCAGCCAGCAACAATAGACCCCTCCCTCAAAAGTAAATCCCTCCCAGTAACAATTGATCCCCCAGCAACATAACCCCCCCCCAACAACAGATCCCCCACCAGCAACAAAAGACCTCCACAGCAACAATAGGCCACCGCATTACAATAGATCCCCCTCAGTAACAATAGATCCCCCAGCAGCCAGCATTAATAGACCCTCCAGCAAACCCCCACCATCCTTTGCCATTACATATATTCAGTGCTGGAGGTGCTTGAATTGCGTTCCTGCTGAAAACAAACCCTGTTCCTCTGCCGCTGCTGGAGTGAAGACTTAGTGCCAGTTTACCCCCGGAATCGCACAGGAATGCGCTCCACAGTCCTGTGTGATTTTTGTGCGATGAGATTTGTAGTCCATTCATTCGAATGGACTGAAAATGCACTGCATCATACCGAAAGTGTTGCATGTACTACTTTTATAAATATACTGTAACTGGATCACATAGTAATGCGGTACCATGCAATCTGGATCAGGCAATTGTACTGCTTTTGCGATCTGCATTTGGGGGTTTGGTTAAGATTACATTGACACCCATAGCAGATTGCACAACCAGTGTATTTGGAATGCTTTCTGGTGTGAATGGGCATTATTCCTGATAGTCCTGGATGTGGAGAAGTATGTGATCTATTTCTATTCCTTTTGCAATGAGCAGCCAGTCACAAGGTTTCAAGTGTCTTAAATCTTGTGTAAGTCCTGAGTAGATTGACCTGGACCTCACATGAATGAAAGGAGTACAAAAGAGCAATAGGGACATCCTAAAATACATTTATGAAACAAATTTCAAACTTAAAGCTGAGCTCTAGGTATGACTTTATTTGTATACATACATTGGTCTAGCTTGCACCAATGTAGGTAAATATGCATATCTGATACCTGAGGAAGATGACAAGATGGACCGATGTAAGTATGCAATTACAATTATATCTGGAGTTCGCCTATAAACCTCAGAATCCTGACTTTTAATCTTAGGATTTTTTTTTTTTTTGAAACTCAAAATTCTGACTTTACTCACTTTTGAGTTTTTATTAAGTCAGATCTCTGAGATAATAAAGTCAAAATATGAGTTTTATTCTTTGGATTCCAACTTTCAAACTCAGAGTTTTGACTTTTAATCACAGAATTCTGACTTTCATATTCAGTGCCTTGAATTCTAATCTCAGTATTCTAAAATGTCATTAATTCAAAATTTAGAGATAATACATTTTGACTTTTGGATTCAGAATTCTGACTTTTACATGCAGAATTATGACTTTAAGGTTAGAATTCTGGATTTAAATTTTATAATTTCAGAATTCTGACTTTTCATTAAGTCAGAATTCTGAGATAATAAAGTCAGAATTTTGACTTTTAGGGCCAGTTCACACTACATGTGTTTCAGTGTGCTTTTTTTCTGCACTCAAAACGCACAGAAAGTAGGTTATATGGTTTTCAACATCATAGTTCACATTAGTGCTTGCAGTTCCAGTGTGTTCCAGTTGCAGAAAAAAAGTAGATTAAGCTACAGTTTTCCTGCACAGAACTGTACTATAACACGGTAAAATGCTTAAAAAATGCAACAGAACGCACCTAAATGCACTGGAACACACATGTCTCTATGTAACCACTCGCCTACTGGGCACTTATACCCCCTTCCCGCCCAGGCCAATTTTCAGCTTTCAGCACTGTTGCATTTTGAATGACAATTGCGCGGACATGCAACCCTGCACCCATATGAAGTTTTTATCATTTTTTTTCACACAAAGAGCTTTCTTTTAGTGATATTTAATCATTGCTGGGTGCTTTATTTTTTGCGCTATAAACAAAAAAAGAGGGAAAAAAAAAGTTTTTCTTTGTTTCTATTATTACATTTTGCAAACAGGTAATTTTTCTCCTTCACTGATGTGCGTTGATGAGGCTGCACTGATAGGCACCACTGATGAGCACTGATAGGCTGCACTGATGGGCACTGATAGGCGGCACTGATAAGGTGGCATGGATAGGCAGCACTGATAGGCACTGATAGGCGGCACTGATGACCTGGCACTGATGAGGCAGCACTGATGATGCTGCACTGATATGCAACAATGATGGGCACTTATGGGTGGCACTGACTGGCGGCACTGCTGGGCACTGACTAGCGGCACTGCTGGGCAGCACTTATGGGTGGCACTACTAGGCACTGATGGGCACAGGTGGGTGGCACTGACGGGCACTAATGGGCACAGGTGGGTGGCACTGACGAGCACTAATGGGCACAGTTGGGTGGCACTGCTGGGCACTTGTGGGCATCACTGCTGGGCACTGATCATCAGTGCCCTGTTGATCGGTGCAGATCTGTCCTCTGACAATTGCCAGTTATCGGCAGTACTTTCCTCGCGCTGTGACAGTGTGAGGAAAGTGCAGCCGATAACCGGCAACTGCATTTACCGGTGATCTGCTGTGTCATTGGACACGGCTGATTACATGGTAAAAGGCCGCTGTGATTGGCCTTTTACCACATCACGTGATCAGCTGTGTCTGTAGGAAATAGCGATCATGGGGGCGCACGGGAGGGTGCATTCTGGAAGGACATCATATGACACCCTTCCAGAACTGGACAACTGCGCTGTAGCTGTCATTCAGCTATAGCATGGCTGGCAAGTAGTTAGATTGAAGAAAAAGAGAGGGGGAAAAAT